ATCCTTGCACCCCATATCTGATGATCCAGCTTGGTCTGAAGCAGCCCAATTCATTATTGATTTGCATAAAATAGAAGCCCAGTCCAGCGATACCTTGCGTAGATAGCCACATTTCATTTCCGCTTCGTTCCATTGCAAAATTAGCCATCTTAATTGTAAACTTGCTATGGTACACGTGTTGTCTTGCATGTCTCCATTTATACATTTTAATCCTGTTGTTATACACCATTTATCCATTTGCACACATTTATACTTATCATCGATAATACCGGTTCTCCAGATATTCTCCTTAAAGCTCATTCTTGTTCCCAAATTTTCCTGTCGTCTCTGCCATTGGTGACCTAATATGTTCTTCTCTTGCTTCTCCTTCTTGTTACGAGGTGTTTTCCATTGCTCAGCTGTGCCTGTAGATCTGAAAAGATAGATATTCACCTCAAAGCTCAATTTTGCTCCCAAATTGCCATGTCTTGATTGCCATTGTTGTCCTATTGTAGTCCTTCCTTTAATCAGCTCCTCTTTACAACCTATCTTCCAATGCTTAGCTGCTTCTTCGACTCTGAAGTTACCCAATTCTTGCGGATGTTGAGCTGCAATTGTGTCTGCTGGTGCGCTTTCCTGTATGTTGCGTCTGCTCTGATGATAGAAAGTGGATTGCCAAATGTTGCTATTGCTCAGAAGGTTGTCTTGATGTGCCTCATTGGAATTGCGTGTTGAGGTTCTTGTCACTTTTGCTACATTACTGCTCCTGCAAATTGTCATGATGACCAATGTTGCTCTCTTTTGTTGTATTTCGATTTTGTTGTTAGATTCATTGTAAGACAGGCTCCTTGTATGAAATGCCTTGTGTCTCTCCCTATGTTTTTCTGTTTTGTTCCACAGTTTCATCATCCAGCTGGATTCCCTAAATTTGGAAATTTTGCTGTCTGCATGTTGTGTTTCTGTATCACACCATGTTATTGCTTGCCTTATTTGTGTGTTTTTTGTTGTTATCTTTGTGCTGTGACTATGATGTCCTGCCCTCCTTTGTGGTAATTTGTATTTCCTGCTTTCTATGAATTTCCTTGATACTAACTATACTGTATATTTAAGGTTTCCCCGATGGGCTGAGTACTAAGTACTAATACCACCACCTGAGGTATTCCAAAAATACAAAGTATAGATAGCATAGCTGTACCTGCAAAAAAGAACACAATGTTAGTACAAAATTGATCCCTCATGTTCTTCCCTATACAGGTTTGAACATGAGAGATCTCATTATTAGCTCCTACTTCCTCATCTTCCCCAGACTCTCCTCCTACTGCTAACTCTTTGTAACTCTGCCTCTCCTTCCTAGCTGTTCCCCTGCTAAGAGACAATCTTTTTCCCCCTTTTTTATTTGACCCTGCAATTGCTGCACTTTCAATTTCTCCATAAGTCCCAGACCACAGTTGCATCCTCCAACTGAATTTTCTTTTGTGTGAAAGAAATTCCTCTGTTAGCAAACTGTGTGCACAAGCATCTCCTAACATTTGAATCCACTCATTTCCATGTTTCATCCCCCTTTTTTTTTCCTGAACATTGTTTTCTGTTCCATATATGCCAAACCCTTGTACTGGTGCCTATATGCAATATTCCTCCACTGGAATGAGTGCTAAGCACTGATACCACCAATTGGAGCTTTATTAACATATAAAACACCTGTACAAAACCTGTACCTGCAAAACAAAAAAATCTGTTAGTAGAAGATATCACCATATTCACCTCCTGCAGGATTTGAATATGGTAATCAGATGTTGAACCACTAAAAGACTCCTTTCCCTTTGTACTTCCTTCACTTTCCCTTTCTATCACCTTGACACAGTCACTCGAATGTATGGACATTGTAACTTATCAGAGTTCACAATTCTTCTTCCTTGACTATCTAAATCCTCAAATCCTTGACATTCCATCTCTCCAACATCCAAGGCATAGTTTGCAATATGGTCAGCTAGCTTATTGCCTTCTCTAAAAGTGTGGGATATTCTGACATTTGCTCTTGTCATCATGTTTCTAATTTCCTCAACCAATGTACCTAGTACCCATGGTGGTTTCCATTTTCCAATTATGACATTCTTCAGGAGCAAAGAGTTTGTGTGTAAATCAATTAACACATATCCTTGCTGTATACAGAACTTCAATGCTTCATAGATAGCCTTTGCTTCTGCAATAGTGTTTGATCCTTCAGAAATCTCTTTACCATATGCATACAGAACATCACCTTGCTCATCTCTCACCACAAATCCAATTGAACTCCTACCTGGATTACCCCTAGCTGCCCCATCTGTGTTTACTTTCACCCATCCATTCTTTGGGAATTCCCACATAACCTTGGTAAATTTGAGATTAGGGGTGTACTGTTCCATCATTCTAATCATATCTGGCCACCTGTGAGGAACCTGCTGAATTCCTGGCTTCCTTACCTTGATTAAGGATTGTAGAGTTGTGGATATCTGATATACTACCCTATTAATAGTGACTGCATCTCCATATTTATTACAATTTCTTCTCTTCCACAATTCCCACACAATTATAGATGGCAGTGCTTGCATGAGTGGCTTCATTCTTGGTATAACATCTGCAGTCCAACATTTGATTATAGCTTGGTGCAAAGTGAATCCTTCTATAGTAATTCCTGCATGTCCAAGGTAATATTTCCATATCTTGTTTGCTGCATAAGAAGTGAAGAATAAGTGTTGTGTTGTCTCCTCTTGTGGATTAGCACAACACCAACACTTAGATGCCATAAGGTACCCCAGTCTTCTGAAGAAGTCATCTAATGGCAATTTGTTTCTCCACACCTTCCACATGAAAAAAGCTATTTTGAATGGCAAGCCCTTCACCCAAATTTTCTTGTATGCTGACATTGGTTCTGATCTTCTTCTCAAGTAATCCCAGGCTGATTTAACAGTGAAGTAACCCTTATTTTCTAGCATCCAACAAGGTGTATCAAGGATCCCTTGAACTTCAGGTGGTTGCATTTTTCCTATGATGTGTTCTGCAAATTCCTCAGGTAAAATTTCATATAACTTTTCAACATTCCATTCACCTTCTTTAACTACATCCCATACATTATGCACAGATTCATCAATACCAAATTCTTGAGGAACTAGGAAGTACAAAGCACTTAATCATGTCCAGTTGTCAAACCAAAACAAGGAAGAACCCATTCTTGGTTGCCACATAATCTGGTGTTCAATTATATCTCTGCACTCCAGCATCTTTCTCCAGACATGAGACCCTTCTCTCCAGGGTACAATCACAGAGTTCATCTTTTTACAGTATTTTTGACTCATAAAAGAGCTCCATAGACTAGGTTTGGTTCTGTAGTTCCACCATAACTTACAAAATAAAGCTTTAGCTACATCATGTAATGATCTGAAATTTATCCCTCCTTCCTCATAGGGCATGCATAATGTATTCCATGATGCCCAGTGCCTGCTACTTCCTGTGGTAGAACTACTCCAAAAAAACTGAGCAAAAATCTTGTGAAGTCTATTAATCACATAATTTGGTGGATTGACAGCAGAGAGCAAATGAATTGGCATGCTCTGCAGCACATGTGCAATAAGAATTGCCCTGCCACCTATAGACAACAACTTACCTTTCCATGCTTGCAGTCTATCTAGAACCTTAGTTATCATAGGCTGATAATGTTCCATCTTCCTTCTTGAGTAAAAGATAGGACATCCCAAATAAATTATTGGAAATTCCTGTCTCTTTATTCCAGTAATTCTCTCCACTTTATCGGCCACTTCTATATCTGTTAGGTGGTGTAGATACACAGCAGATTTATTCTTATTCACTAGTTGTCCAGATGTTGATTCATATGCTGCCAATACATCCATAATCAAACCAAGAGAAGTGGCATCAGATGATGAAAATATGATGGTATCATCTGCATAAGCAAGATGATTTATCTTAGGGCTCCACTTAGGCATTCCATATCCACAGAAATATAGATTGTCATGAAGTGCATTTAGACCCCTAGATAAAGCTTCTGCTGCTAGTATGAATAAAGTAGGAGACAAAGGATCTCCTTGTTTCACCCCCCTTGATGATTTGAAGAAGCCATGAGCTTGCGCATTTATCAATACTGAGTACCAGTTGTTGGATACTATGCCAAAAACCATACCTATAAACCTCTCTGAGAAGCCCATTTTTCTTAAAACCTTTGTCAAGAATAGCCATAATAACCTGTCATATGCCTTGGTCATGTCTAATTTTATTATAATATTTGGCCCTGCTTTGGTTCTAAGCCTCATATCAGTGACAATCTCTTGAGTGAGGAGTATGTTTTCAACAATGCTCCTAACCTTTACAAAGCCTGATTGTTCTTCTGATATTAACCCAGGCAACATCCCAACAAATCTTTTATGTATTACCTTTGAAATAACCTTGTTGGAAAAATTACTGAGACTTATGGGCCTTAGATCAGAAAATGTGGATACTTCCTTTTTCTTTGGTAATAAAACAAGATTAGTGTGTGTTACACATTTAGGAAGATCATGACCATTAAAGAAAGCTCTTACCATGTCAAAAAGATCATCTCCAATTATATCCCAGCATGACTGATAAAACTTGCCTGTGAAACCATCTGGCCCTCCTGCACTATCACCATTTAATCCAAACACTGCTTCCTTTACCTCTTCCTTTGTTGGTTGTTTTATCAGCTCAGAATTTTTGTACATATCAATCAGAGTAGGGACATGATCAATGATCCCAAAGGATGAGGGAACTGCAGCTTCAGTAAATTGATCTTCAAAGAATCTGATTGCTTCTGCAGCTATTTGATCCTCTTCTTCAATCCATGTTCCTTGGCTATTCTGGATTCTGTTGAGATGTAACTTCTTCCTTCTACCTCTTACATGAGCATGAAAAAATTTTGTATTCCTATCACCCTCCTTGAACCAGGCCATTCCTGCTTTTTGTTTCCAGTACTTCTCCTCCAAAGCTAAAAATTTGATTAGTTCTGCCTGAACTTTCTACAGCCTTTGTCTATTTAACTTTGTGGGATTAGCTTCAAATTCAGCTTCATGAACAATCACCACTTCCTCTAAACTGGCTATCTTCTGAAATATATCACCAAATGTACCCCTACTCCATACTGATAGTGCTTTCTTGATTTTCTTCAATTTATGATTAAAAAGTACAAATGGATTTGCACTGAAGTCTGCTTTCCAGTTATCCTTTACCACTTCCTTAAATGTTTCATGTTCCACCCAAAAGTTCAAAAATCTAAATGATTTCTTCACAGGAGGATTCTCTATATCACATTTGAGCTGTAAAGGACTATGGTCTGATCCTGTCTTTGGCAGATGCTGCACTTCAATCCCTAGGAATGTCTGTTGAAATTCTGCATTGGCTACACATCTATCCAACCTCTTAAATATACAATCCTCCTCAGCTCTTCCATTCCACCATGTGAAAATGCTTCCCTTGAACCCCAGGTCTGACAGATTGCAAGTGTTTATACAATGCCTAAAGTCATCAATTTCATTAATGTGAACTGGCAAACCTCCAAATTTTTCCTCTTCATCCCAAATGACATTAAAGTCACCACCTACCAACCATGGTACAGTCATGTCAGCTGCTATATAGTATAGAGAGTCCCACAGTTCAATTCTCTCTGTTGCATCACACTTGGCATATACCAATGTAAGGACAAAATCCACATGAGTCTCTGTGTGATGAAGCCTTAGAGTAAGTTGCTGCACCATGTTATACATTACTGTAACCTCATATATCTCATCTATGAAAGCCCAGATCTTGTTTGATACATTAGCAATTGCCTGTGCAAAACCAATTCTACTCCTATACCTTTCCAATGTTTTAGCTTGTTGCATGGGTTCCATTAAGCCAATGAATTCATAGTGATTCTTTCTATGTAATTTGATCAGCCTTTCAAATGCTTGTTGACTGTTAACTGACCTTATATTCCAAATAAGAGCATCCATTACTGTTTGGTTTGGGAAAGGGATAATGTCCTCCTTGTTTGAACTCCTCCTGTAGGGGCAGGTAGATTCTCCTTTAGTTGTTTCTTCTTTCCTTTTGCTGCAGATTTAGCCTTTTCAAGGATTCTAGGAGATAGATCACCTTGTCTTCCTATATTCTGAAAATTCTGTGCTGTAGATTCTTCATCCAAGTCATAGCCTGCTCTTATTTTTCCTTGTTCTGCATCAATACCTTGTTGATCTCCAACTGCAACCACATCATGCTTGTGCTGCAACTTAAGCATCAACTCCTGTGTTTTAACATTCTGCAGACTTTGCAGCTGTGTTTGGTCATTTCTTTTTGTTGCATCAATTGCCTGTTTGGATTTTAACTCTTTGTCTACTTCTGTAACCACATTCTGCTGATCATTAACCTTAGTGTGAATTACTTCATCTCCAGTTCCAACTGGATCCATTGCCTCAGTACCAATCCCTTCTACTGTATTTACCTGATTTATTTTATCTTCCTGTACTTCCTTTGTGGCTATTTCTTCCTCTGCATATTTTTTCTCCTTTATACAAGCTGTATCCTCTTTGTTTGAGATATTGACAAGAGCTTCACCATTAACACTGTTTTCCTCATCTTCTTTGTCTTCATGAAGTGGTTCCTCATCATGCTGAGCACCTGCTGGTACTTCATTCTCATCTGAATCATTTTCCCTCTGATCTGACCATAATTTGCCCCCACTCCATTGCAGTCTGTCTTTCACTCTAGAAGGGAATATTTCATTTGTTTGTAATTCTGGATTGTTCCCCAGCTCTATGTCTACCAAAGTATTCTGAGAGGGAATTTCCTGACAAGATGTGTTGATCCCCACTATGTTTTCACCTGTAGTTCCCATGAATGCTCTATGTACCCATTGGGATGTTGATTCCTTGTTTCTTTGTATATTTGCCTCAGTTCCTCCATTAGTTGAGCCAACACCTGCTGAATCTATTTTGAATTCTGGAGCTATGGGATTTAGTTTTCCAGATTTATTACCTGCTAGTTGTTGCTGTTGCTTTACTATATCCTGTGATCCTTTAGCTGGGCTTTGTGGAGTTGAATGAATTGCACCTGTTGCTGTTTGATTACCATTATCATTCTGCAATTTTCCTGCTTTGTCTTTACCCTTGCCCTGCCTTTCTTTCTTTGAAGGTGATAGAGTAGCCACATTACTAACTTCCTGTACCTCTTCTATAATTGCCAATTCTTTGCCCAGCATTACTTCTGTCTCCTCTCCATCTAGTGCTGCAAATTTATTTGAAATCTGCAACTGTTGTGTATTATTGACCACAGCATTATTTTGTAGCACTGGCACAATTTCTTTGCCTGCTTTATTCACTTCCTCAGGCACATTCTCCTTCGCTTTACCTCTATTGTCCCTTACCTCTTTCCACTGAGCACTTTGATTTCCAACTACCTTACCACTTGACAGAATCATCAATGGTGCTGCACCCTTACCATATTGATTATTAGGCTTCTTTTCATCCATCTTATTATCCTGCTGCTCAACAGTATTATTTGACATCAATTCTGGATGTAACCTCCAGCACTCCAACATATCATGACCTTGTAATTTGCACTCTTTGCAATATTTAGGGATGTAGTCATATTTAATGGCCACCCATTCAGTTCTAACATCACCAGTTGACTCATCTACAATGTCCATCCTAACCTTCTTTGGGAGATCATCTAACAGATCCACCAACACCTTCACACGAGCACAACTAGGCCTTGTTTTTTTTATAGTAGCTAAATCAAGATGTTGTGGAATTCCAACTGCAGAAGCTAAGGAAAAAAGACATTCTTTCACAAAGTATGTAGGTAACAGATTAGGGAATGATATCCAGGCCATCACTTTAGGTGTTTCCTCTCCAACTTTGAATTTTTCATCATAAATCAAAGTTCTTAACTGATATTCCTCTCCATGTTTATCTTTAACATAATACACTCCTTTTGAAGAGAAATCCACAAAATCTTGCCATAAAGTCAATCTGACCAAGATGTGCCTATCTCTTAGATATCCAATATTGCATTCTCCTTTAATACCACATTGCATTGGTACAATGCGATGTATTTCATTGATATCTGGACAACCATATGAAAACTTGCAAACGACTGCATATTGAAGACCTTCAATTATATTCATACGTTTAACTTCTGCTTCGGTAAAACAAACAGTTGGTTGACCTTGAAAAACTTTGGCTCGTCTAGCTACAATTGGCTCAATAGTTGTAACATGATCATGCATGGCAGTCGACGTGGGCTTCAATGCTTTTGCATAATCCATCGTTTGGGTATTGTTATATGCTGTCACGGGGGGCTGGGTAGTGTCGGGGGGTGGTTGGGGAGGCAGCCCAGCCACAGGAGGTGGCTGGCCGCCGGCCGGCGATGCCATGAAGAATAACCAGCGTGTTTCTCTCTCTAGAATAGGAAAATCGCCAGAGCTTCTCACTCTAGATAATTTTTTGTTTAGGGTTTTTTTTTAAGCAATCCACTAGGCATAGCCTAAGGCTAGTTTTTATTTATATAAATACAAAAACAAATAAATGTTATGAGATCCTACCAAGTATACGAAATAAAAATTGACTACTACATAATTCCTATTATCAAAATTGAGTAATATGCTCAAAATTGATATCACAATAAATCTATCATAAAATTGTATCAAAACTAGCCCATAAAAATAGATCACAGCAGCCCAATCCACAAAGCCCATGTATATTAGGCAAGAGACCTCCACGGCCAGCCCAGAACAAACATAGGATTTGCGCAAATAGCCTCCAAATTGCACATCCAGCCCAAACGCATGAATTGCAGAAATAGCCATCGCCTGTTGTATTATTTGAAGTTGGTCAAATTGCAATTTTAGCCCCATTGCTTGAGCGCTACTGATTTGCACAAACAGCCTCCCCTGTATCAGCCCAATTAAAATTGCTACTGGTTTGCAGAAATAGCCACAGCTTACTCTAATGTCTCCAATCTCCTCAACTTGCAAAAGTAGCCACATTACTCTCATAATTACCCATTGCATAAAACCCAGTCCAGCATTACTGGCCCAGTTCCGCCTGAATCAATGGTGTTGGAGGACTGAAGATGGACCTCACAAAACTCTTGTTTAACTGCAGCTGCTCTGAAGAACCGATGTTGCCAAGCTTCAGAGACACCGTCAACCACACCTTTCTGCACCTCAGTGGAATTGCATGTGAGAACTGCAATCGAGTTTGTACTCTCCCCTCCCCGATAGATTGGTGTAATAGCAAAACCTGAATGTATTTCCTTGCTGTACCCCTTGTCCTTTTCTATTTCCTTATCCTTTTGCATCATCCAGTTAAAATCACTAGCATTGATGATTTTACTGTCTGCAAAATCTGCAAATAAAAGCCCCAAAAGCTGTGCATGCTTGTTCTCTATGTCTGATAGTGTTGTCATGTTTGTACAAAAATAGAATCCTGCAAGCTTGTATGATATCTTGCAATTGATCTTCTTTGCAACCCCTCTATACTCTAGATTTAATTTAACTCCGGTGGATTGAGTACATAGTACTAATACCACCACCTGGAGCTTCCTTAAACCAAAGAGTATAGATATGATTGCTATAACTGTGACAAACCACATATATGCTTGCTTTGCTTGTGCTTTAATTGTTGTTGATTGATTATCTTGTACTGTATCTTCCCTTGCCTTCCTCCCCTTGGATTGAGTACAAAGTACTAATACCACCAAGTAAGATTTGTTCAAGGGAACGACCTGGAAACACAGATGCATCATCCAGCTGAGTTTTCCTAGAATGAAAATTCTGCTGTCTGCATTCTGTGTACAATTATGACCACATGTGTTTGCTTGTTTTTCTTTCATGTGCCTTGATATTGATTTTCTTATGTGCCTTTGATGTCCTGCTACCACCTGTACTATTATGTATTTTCTATTGTCCATGATACTCCTAGCTACTATGCTAAACTCTAATTTTAATTCTTCCCCGATGGATTGAGTAGCAAGTACTAATACCACCACCTGAGGTTTCCTTAAAATATAAAGTCTAGATAGTATGATTGTACCTGCAAAAAAGAACACATCATTAGCAAAAAATTGATCCTTCATGTTCTCCCCTAAACTGGTTTGAACATGAAAAATCACATCTATGGATCCTGCATCCTCAAACACCCCAGTGTGTCCTCCTCCTACTAATTCTTGGAAACTTTGACCCTCAAATATGGACATTGTAGCTTGTCCTCATTTACTATCCTCCTCCCTTGTGAATCCAACTCCCAAAAGTCATGGCATTCAATGTTCCCATAGTCCAGTGCAAAATTTGCCAAATGATCTGCTAATTTGTTTCCTTCTCTAAAAATATGGGATATTCTGATACTGCAACCTTCCATTAGCTCCTTTATCTCCTCCATCAAGTCCACAATAGTCCAAGGGGGTTTCCATGCTTTCTCTATAATGTTTTTCATCAACATGGAGTCAGTTTGCAACCAAACTTGAGAGTAATTTTTATCTCTGCATACCCTTAAAGCCTCCAGGATTGCTACAGCTTCAGCTTCATTATTTGATCCTTCAACAATCTCCTTTCCCATTGCATATTTTACCTCTCCAGCCTCATCTCTACAGCAAACACCAATAGCACTCCTGCCTGGGTTCCCTCTTGATGCCCCATCTGTGTTAACTTTGATCCAACCCTGTTGAGGAAATTCCCATATCACTTTGTAATATTTGAGCCTAGGTGTGTAGTTTTCCATCATTAGCAGTAAATCACTCCATCTATGAGGTACCCTTAGTCCAGGCTTTCTTAACTTCACCAAGTATTGGAGGCTAGTTGACACTTGGTAAATAAGCCTACTCACTGAGACTGCATCCCCATGTTTCAGGTTGTTCCTCCTCTTCCAAAGTTCCCAAACTATGCATGATGGCAGAGCCTGCATCACTGGCTTCAACCTCTGCACCACTGGTGCAGTCCAGCATTTAATGATAGCCTGGTGTAATGACAACCCCTGTACAGCAATGCCTGATCTTTGTAGGAAATATTTCCACACAGCTTCTGCAGCTCTGGATGAGAAAAATAGATGTACCAGTGAGTCTTCCTTAGGTGAAGCACAACACCAACATTTAGAAGGCATAGAGTAGCCTAGCCTTTTCATAAAGTCATCCAATGGTAGCTTAGCCTTCCACAGTTTCCACATAAAGAATGAGATTTTGAAAGGGAGACCTCTCACCCATATTTTCTGATATGCTGTTCTTGGATTAACTCTCCTTCTCAAATACTCCCATGCTGTCTTCACAATAAAATGACCCCTAGTTTCAAGCATCCAGAAAGGTGTATCCAGCACATTTTCCATACTAGGTGGCTTTATATTTTCCAAAATATGGTGTGATAAGTCTTCAGGTAAAATCTGTATCAGTCTCTCAACATTCCAAACACCATTCTCAATCAATTCATTTACATTATGTATCTCCTCATCTATATCAAAATCTAGTGGCACTAGATTTTGATATAGATAGGGTTTGGGTTTAGGGGTTTTTTTTTTTTGGCAATCCCCTAGGTCTTTTTGTGTTAAGTTCTTAGGGTTCTTAGCGTTTTTTTTATTTATTTTTTTGCTCCAAAGAAGAGTCTAGAAAGGTCCCTAGACTTAATGGACTAATCCGAATTGTGATCCAACACCTTAATTGACTCTTTTTTTTTTAAAGATAAGATAAAATACTACACAATGCAAAACTAACACTAATTAATTAAACTAAACATGGAACTATTTTTGTATTTTTCCAAATTATATAAAGATTAAAATAAGGTACTATTTTTGTATTTTTTTAAAAAAATTTATGAAAAATACATAAACTAAAATATTTTTTTTGTAATTTTTTTTTGTAATAAAGTAAAAGAGTCAAAATTAATTAAAATAGCTATATTATGCCTAAATTAAATATTTACATGCTAACAATATAAAAATCTTGGGGAGGGTCAAAAATCACATGTCTACAGCTGCCCATCTTTGACTGGAAATGCGAAGAGTTTTCAGACAAAGAATGACTAGACAGGTTTTTGACCTGACCCTTATTTGGAGAGAAAAAGAAAGGAGAATGTGACCGAGCCCTGGTATCTGAGGTGCCTACATATCCTTGGCTATAAAGGAATCAGGCCACGTGTAGTTCAGAAGTGAATGAGGAGATGGAGTACGAGGTGGAGAGCCGAGCGAGGTGCCGTCGAGGTTCCGGTCCGCGGTCCCGTTAATTACATCAAAATCAAAATTAAAAAGACTAACTAAGCCTATCAGCTACGAGTTACAAGATTCCTATCTATAAATCTCTTGAAGCTTGATCTTGAGTCTTGGCTAGGTCTTGCTGTAGACTCCGATCTGAATCTTGATGCTCGTTAGCTGTAGGTGCTGGTTCTTTCTTCAGCTTTGGATCAAGGCTGGATATGCGAAGCTTGTGACTTCAATCATATCTTGAGCAGTCCGCGTCCTTCTCCACTTCAGCACTTTGAGTTCACTTCTTTTTTGTTCTTTTTCTTCTTTTTCTTTATTTTGGATTAAGACTCATTCTTTTGGTCATTCGAACCCTGTGTCTCGAGGTAAAACCTGTTCAGACACAAAAACAGACAAACGAACGAAACTGCCCTAGTTTTCTCTAGGAAAATTTCATGAGTTATTTGTGACAAAGTCTGCGCTCATTCATTTTTTTTCCATTTTCAAGAATTGTATCTTTCAATAATGGAACGGATTAGGGAATGGAACCCTGTTTCTAAACGGCGCAACTAAGGGTTTGGAGCCCTAATGTTGGCTAACAGGAAAAACGCTCAACTCAGGGGTTGGAGCCCTAATGTTGGCTAAAGGAAAAGCGCTCAACCCAGGGGTTGGAGCCCTAATGTTGGCTAAAAGGAAAAACGCTCAACTCAGGGGTTGGAGCCCTAATGTTGGCTAAAGGGAAAAATGCTCAGCTCAGGGGTTGGAGCCCTAATGTTGGCTAAAAGGAAAAACGCTCAACTCAGGGGTTGGAGCCCTAATGTTGGCTAAAAGGAAAAACGCTCAACTCAGGGGTTGGAGCCCTAATGTTGGCTAAAAGGAAAAACGCTCAACTCAGGGGTTGGAGCCCTAATGTTGGCTAAAAGGAAAAACGCTCAACTCAGGGGCTGGAGCCCTAATGTTGGCTAAAAGGGAAAACACTCAACTCAGGGGTCGGAGCCCTAATGTTGGCTAAAGGGAAAACGCTCAACTCAGGGATTGGAGCCCTAATGTCGGCTAAAAGGAAAAACGCTCAACTCAGGGGTTGGAGCCCTAATGTTGGCTAAAAGGAAAAACGCTCAACTCAGGGGTTGGAGCCCTAATGTTGGCTAAAAGGAAAACGCTCAACTCAGGGGTTGGAGCCTTAATGTTGGCTAAAAGGAAAAACGCTCAACTCAGGGGTTGGAGCCCTAATGTTGGCTAAAGGGAAAAACGCTCAACTCAGGGGTTGGAGCCCTAATGTTGGCTAAAAGGAAAAACGCTAA